CCTCCTGAACTCAGAGCGTCACATGACACAGCGCCACAGGTATTCACTATGACTTTGAGATTCAAGATTCAAAGGTTTATTGTCATGTCTTAGACACAACTACGGTGTAGTTATGCAATGAATTAAAAACGTAGGTCACATGTTCCTCAACAGTACAATAACAAGACAAACATTTTTATAAGAATAAAATAGTCAGAAATGTCTGTACGAAGTCTCTAACCTGTAACATCCAAGCTACTTAAAACACAACCCATCATCCAAACTGAAGTTGAAAGATTTGAACCTGATATTATTCTCAAATGATTGACAGGTCTTTAAATACCAACACACACAAACAACAAACTCATCTGACTGAGATGTATTTTTAAATGATAAGCGTTAGAGAAATGCCTTCCTATGTAGAGCTCATTATTCCAAACTAACCTATATAAGAAAAATGCACTAACTGAGTTTTTAGACGCTTTAACAGCAGACAATCTGTTTAAAATATAATGAATACAAATCCTATGGCTCTATGGGATCAACAACAGGTCTACTGTATCCTGTGTATCCTGCTCCAGGTAGTCCCAAGCTTGCATCATGGATGGATGTTGAAGAACCACGGGGATACAAACAAATACACCTCAGATACAAGGGCAGGAAAATGTTGAGCCTTATTCCAGGTCTATATCTGTTTTAAATATTCCAACTAAGAATAATCCAGATATATGTCTGTGTTTTTGTTGCCGTATGCAGTGTTTCCTGTCCTCACACTGAGATAATCCTGCTTTATTCCTGACGTTTGTTTTCTGAGGGTGTGGAGCCTTGAACGCTGGGAACAGATCTCTGTTAGAGAAGCTTTCTATGGCAGGACTGTGAAACAGAGACATCATGTTAACTGTCTTCAGCCCGGACTCATCACAACAGTGGCATCGAAAAACGACAGAAGAACAGCTAAACTTAACGCCTGCACTCAAAGTGCCATGAATGTTCATTTTATTCAAATAATGATGTTTCCTCTAAATTACTCCCAAGCAGCAGCCGATGCGGTCGAAGCACTGCCAGACGTGTCAGCACTGTGTGCGGCGCTACGACCACCACTGCCCCTGGATCGAGAACTGTGTGGGGGAGAGGAACCACCGCTGGTTCGTGCTCTACCTGGCTGTGCAGCTGCTGGTGCTGCTGTGGGGGGTGCACATCGCCTGGTGAGCACACACCCTCACACCACCCTCCACACTGAGCATTCTGCTGCATTAGGACACAAATCCTTAAAACAAATATTCTAGTCATTATTGAGATCATGATTTTTTTCAAAACAATACCCATTGACATTCATTGATTAAAAGAAAAACAGCATTTTTAACAGCGTTATTTCTCAAACTTTGAATATCATTCGACTGAAAAGCAAACAATGCATTACAGTGTCTGCAGCCGAGAACCAGGGACTCTCTGTTGGTGCCCTCCATCTAAAGTCTGATCTTATTGGGGAGATAAATGTTGTATAACATCAAGCCTGCCCTAAAGCTTTTGTACTAATGTATCTTTCTATTACGATCCTTTTTTACATGCAGTGAACAATATCCTGAACATGTACTCGTCTTTTACATTACATACAATTTCCCATGTTCATTGTCCCCAAGTATAATGTGTCCAATGTTAGGGTTTATGTTCCCATAAACATAGTGATTTTATCCACGTTCTCCAAGCTAAGGAGGAAGTTGTTTTCCTTTGTGCTGAATAATCTGTCCAATGTATCCACTGATAACACAATATTGGTCTCTTTTTCCCACCCCTCCTAATACAGTGATTTTCAACCAGTGTGCCCTGAGAGATCGTCAAGTGTGCCGTGGGAAATTGTCCAATTTCACCTAATATTATTTAGTTGCTGAAGATAATTTGCCATTGTTGAGCGTCAGTGCCTGCAACGTAGTGTCAAGTACCCCCTGATCAGCGCAACAACTATTTGTTAGGGGGAAAAAGCCTATATAAAGAGGTACAGTACAGCGCTGCACCATCAGTGTCTGATTTATTAAAACAACATTGTAACTGAGAAACACTTAAATGCTACATTTCAAATGTTTACAATCCATCACTAAATTCATGGCAAACCAATTTGAACATCATGCAATAACACTAAGACGACATTAGTTGCATTGAACTGATCTTTTTAATAAGTTATACTTACAATGTAGTGAGAAACATGGGCTTGTGCTTCACTGAGGATCTTTGTCATTCTGACAGGGAGGCACCTGCAGTTATTACACTTCGTGTTTTGAAATATGTGTAACTCTGTTCATATAAAACCCACACTGCTCAAACTTTGTTACTTTTCCTAAAATTGGTATATTTATTTATTTATGTATGTAGCGGCGTGGGGAATGAAGAGAAAAAAAAGATATGAGCATTTTATGAGCATGGGATTTTGACCCCTCATATAAACATATGCATAATGCTGCACTATACTTTGCAGCCACAAGCCGTTGCCAAGCAACGCTTATTGTTTAGGTCCTTTGATAAGCAGGCAGTCATATAATTAACTAGAACTAGCTAGATCTGATAGATTTGGACATAAACGCGAGTGAAGTATAACCGGACACGAGAGAGAGAGATCAGAGATCAGATCAGCTGCTGCTGACGGAGAACACGCAGCTCTTCCGGATCACAGCTCCCCCGCTGTGACGGACCGTTGAGAGGAGCAAAATACACTAAGAGTTAGACCTAACACACTTAGCTAGCTAAAAAACTGTGAATATATCTGCACTTTCCTTGTTGTTCGGAGTTTGAGTCTTTATGGTTTTTGCACTTATTGAACGTCTTGGATAAAAGCGTCAGCTAAATGACATGTAATGTAATGTAACAGCGATGAATGAATATTTGAAAAGGAAAAATGCAGACTGAACCGGGTCCTGGAACCAACTTTTAACCAAGATGAAGAGCCTAGTAGGCCTAGATAGGTTGTGGTCAAAAGAAAGAAAAAAACATTGAGCTCGAGGCCATACAGCAAAAGTTATCTTTTGTTTGGATTTACTGCAGGGCAAAAAAGGCTGAAAAAGGCGTTCCTAATGTATCCTTTTGTTGTGTAGTCTGATGAATCACACAGCTCTGTTGTGTCCTCAGGACGGGCTTCAGCGCGGCCCCCAGCTGGCAGCAGTGGCTGCGGTCTGACGGGGTTCTGCTGGTGGTGGCCGTGCTGCTGGCTCTGCTCTCTCTCGTGGTGCTGCTGCTGCTCGGCTCCCACCTCTACCTGGTGTCTCTCAACACCACCACCTGGGAGTTCATGTCGCGCCACCGCATCTCCTACCTGAAGCACTGCGGCGCCGACGAGAACCCCTTCGACCGCGGAACCTTCCACAATCTGTGGGGTTTCTATTGCGTGTGGGGGACCGTGGTGTGGGAGCAGGTGTACTTCAGGGAGGGCAGCGACCAGGTGTAGGAACACATGGCGAGCATGAACACTGACAGAACAACTTTTGGGTTTGGGGATCCAACAGTGACCACAACTTTGTGGAATGAACTCTTCCTGTTTCTCTGTCTGCCAGCCCTTCGAGTCCTATAATGGACCCGGAAATGTTGAGTACACCAAGTTTTATGTTAGAAATGTATAGTACGGGTCCCCAGCACATAGAAACTGCCAGATGCTAACTTACATATGTTGGGCCATTTTGGAGTGGTTCTGGGGCTGATTGAGGATGCTGAGTCCATTTCTGACATTTTCACGATCAACCATGGCAATCTTAACCAGAAAGTGGCCATATTTGTACTCTCTGTGAGTCGATTTGTTAAGTTTTAGCTAATGCTAATTGTGCAAATTGCCCAACATATGCAAGTTAGCATCTGACATGTGCTGGGGACCGCTACTATACATTTTCTAACATAAGACTTTTGGGTACTCAACATTTCTAGGTTCACAGTGCTGGCAGCTATTCTATGTGTGCAGTTTACCTTTTATATTCCCTGTTGTCGTTTCCTCTCAGTGATAATCGCTGCGGTGTTGCACATTTCCTGTTTCCCCCTCATTCCCCCAAGTGGCTGTCAACAGATAGATGTCTCGCGTGGACAACCGGTTACCAGCACTACAGCCTTTATTTAACAATTGTTTACAACCATTCAAGTATACAGTACCATGTCCACAGAGACAGGTACCTAACTATGTGATTCTGCTGACTCATGCTTGCTGTTTATTTCCCACATTCACCCCCCCCCCCCCCCCCCCCCCCTCACTCCTGCATACTCCTCTGAAACATTTATGTGAAAATCTCCTGGAGTACTTGTGTTCTTACTGTGAAACATTGTAAACATGACTAATGGACTGTTAATCATTTTTTAAGTTTACTTTGAATACATGTCCAATATTGCATAAACATGATTAATATATACTTGTTTTAGGTGCATGTGTAGACAATCCAGATTCGTATCTGTGCACTCATCCTGATCAACACGTTGGAGAATACATTTTGTACGTTTGTTGTTTTTATTGTGGATATCTTCTTTTTGATTTTGTTTTTCTGTGATAAATTGCTGAGTCATCTGTATTCTGCACAGGTTTGACAGGGTCCAGTTGCTTCAAAAGACAAACCTGATCTTTCTATCTATTTTCAAAGCAGTTTGAAGTGAAGCTAGTTCAACTGTGCTGAATTGTTCCTAGCATTGAATCCATGATGTACAGAATGACTTTCAATGGACAGCATTTCAAGATATTTTATATTGTACATCATTTTAAACTATTTTGAATGAGAAAATGTATTGACATTTTGATATGGCTATTGAATGGAGTAACTGAATGAGTACTGTGGAGCAGCAGTACATGATGGTATGTCTCGTGCAATAGGAACCTGTAAGACAGCAATACTTGTGATGCCGAGTTCAATGTACAGCAGTAGTGTTGGATAAATGCATTACCTCCATATGGACTGACAGCTCTGGTTTATATTAATGAACATTTAATCCATGTTGTGTACTTCTGAATGATATGCAATACTGTAATGCAATGTTTTTATAGCTTTGAAATGACTCTACACATGGATAAATAAATGTTTAATGAAGAGTTTTCCAGCAGACTTACATTTATTCATTTATATTTCCTTCTAGTTGTTCACACTTTACACATAGGCTGGTTTATTCTATATAAACATTTTCATTATGATTGTATTCTTTAAAAATAACAAAGACAGTTGTATTGACGGAGAAATCTGCAAAAGAACTTCAGTTGACAAATGCGCTATTTTCATTATGTGACATCCCAACACATTAGAGGCTAACAACAGATGGACGTATAATGCTTCTATTACACAGCAAAAGGTCAACTGCTGTGTAATAGAATGTAATGCTTTGGCCTTTAGGGACAAGTCTCTTCATTAAGATCACAAACATGAACACTTAAGTGCTTTGGATTGAGAGGGCTGGAGAAATGTTCATTTGTAAAAAGTGCACTGATTCCATGCAGTGTGAACTGTTAACGCTCAGCCTTCTGATCCTACCGCTTCATGATAGAAATAGTCGGCATGATCAGTTCAAAATGAATTTGGCAGAGACAAAACATGTTAAAAAATCATTTCTGTATCATGAAATCCAACTGAGCAGGCGTGAAAAGGAGTGAGTTCTGCAGCGTGTGTGCAGGATCAAGCCACTGACAGCCAGAGTGATGGCACCTGGAACTGCGGACAGGAAATCGGCACAAATGTAGTTTCTCAGCTTCCAATGAATCAGAAGCACTTTATGGCCAATAAAAGTTGTTGTAAACATGTGGCAGCACAGTGTCTTCGGTCAACTCATGGAAGAGAAGTCAAAGTCAGCAAAGATGTCCTGCTGCTCGGCGGTGAGGATGCAGGGGGTGTGTGGGGGGGTGAGGACGGGCTTGAGACGGGTGAACTCCTCGTCAAAGTTACTGACGTCCTTCAGCGCTCTGATGACCGGCAGGAAGGGGGGCTTCAGCTTCTTGGCCAGCAGAGCGCTCCAGTCCATCCCCTGTCCAAGAACACACAGTCAGCTGACAGCAACCATTCAACATCTACATTCCTGTCATCTCTGTAACGGCACATTCAAGTTATCTTTGGACTGAGATTCATCTATAAGTGATTCTATCTACCATATGTCATTCTTTAACTTAGTTTATCTGCAGTGAATCGTTTTTTCACGATAGGTCTACACTCAGGACGGCACTTCAAAGCTGATGAGGATCTCCATCTCTTCAAATGATAGTTTCAGTTCTTCTGGCACTCACACATCCACTGACTGTCCACTGCTTTTACTTGTTTGCTTTTTTTTAACTGAGAATTCCTCTGTTTTCACTTCTACTGCTCGCTTTAGCTGACATCCTCATGTTAATGCATGTGAAGTCATCCTAATGGATTTCTTTCATTTGAAAATCACTTCCCTCAGAGGTTTTAGTTCTATCAGGAGTGCTGTAGGGTTCCATGCATCAGGTTTCTTGCTAATGGAAACATAACCCATGTGATCTGATGACAAACTAACCAACTCTTTGTCCACAAGTCCAATATCTTTCTCATAAAAAGGTCCTAAGTTTCCCCCCCCCAAGTGAATCAACTCTTCCTGCTTGGAACTGGAGACAGCTGTTGGTCTGGAGTTGGAGCGCTAAAGAGCAGCTGCCCAGAGACATGTTTTGTAAAGGAAGAGGAGAAGGAGTTTCAGAGTGAGGAGGTCAGCAGCTCCTGGATCCTCACCTGAAAGAACTTGTGTCTTTTGATCTCCGAGGCGTCTCCCTCTCCCCCTCCAAGTCTCATCTCAGGAGCTTTCTGCAGCAGCTGGAAGTCAGAGAGCAGAGAGAGCCGTCAGTACACACAGCGCTCACATCAGGAGAAAACTGGAGGGAATATGTGATAGGAAGCCAACCTTCTGCATGAGGGACACAGCGTCAGGGGAGAGGAAGCGGGGGAAGCACACGTCATCGTTGACGATGCTGTCGAACACCTCCTCCTCATCGTCACCGGGGAAAGGAGACTGAGGGAACAGAGAGCAGATGAAGTGGTGGATCACCTGAGTTACTGTGAGTCTACTGGAGCTAAACACAGGACACACATTCAAAAGCAGTCTACAGGTCTTGGCAAACTTTGCTGCACTTCCTGTATATTAAAGGAGAGGGTCACATTTGACCAGTCCGTCTTAAAACAATAATCACATGTGCATAAACACATTGAAATAGTTCATGATCGCTGTTCTTGTTCTGTCAGCAAAGAGATCCCTCCTTCCTTCATTCCAGTGTCCACACTTCAGAACTCGTGATTTCTGAATCCATTTTCAATATGTAGTTGTGGTTCTACCTGCAGCTTGCCTTTTTTAAATAAGCTTTATTATTTGATTATATTTATTCATTTTGTCCTATGTCTTCCTTTATTTTACCGAGAGGGATCATTATTTATTTTATTATTATTATCATACCCATTTCACCTTCTCGTGTCCCTTGAATTGTTAGATGTGTTGTTAAGCTGCATGTGGGCAAAGAGGTCTGACCTGAAGAGGATTTCTTGTTCTCTGTGTTCATTTGTGATGCGTCTGCAATCTGGGCCGGATTGAGATATCTTCTCAAACTTAGTTGAAATGATTTGATGACTAGGTTGCATAATATTTATAAAAAGATGAAAACGTGTACTAACTAGACCATAAGGCAGGGACCTGTATCTGTTGGATGTGTGAATGTGCAGCTGTTTGCTCAGCATATCTCCGTAAAGGACGTCATATGTCACTGTATTATTCCTAGTTATCACATTTCCACCGAGAGCCTGGTGCTCCCTGAACACTTTCCTGCTTTGCATCGCATCCTTCAGTTTGCTGATTATTGGAGGTCTGTACTAACCTCCCCCACCAGCATCTCATAGATGAGGACCCCCAGCCCCCACCAGTCCACACTGCGGGTGTAGTTGTTGTCTGTCAGCACCTCTGGGGCAAGAAACTCTGGTGTGCCGCAGAATGTTGTGGTGCGATCCCCGTGGCCCATATCTGCACAGCACACACACACCAGTTATTAAAGAAGGAGACTGAAACAAAACAATGTGTTCACACTTCAAGCCTGCAGCCCTGCACACACAATCCTGTCCTCTACACTTCTGTTCCAACTATGATACGGATACACTGCGGACTTATTGCCTTGTGCTGTAGGAAAAACGTTTACATGACATAAGAGAATGAGTTTGACTTTTACTGGAGCATAATAATGTTCTCACCTTCTTTGCACAAGCCATAGTCTGCTATCCTGACAAAACCATCTGCATCCATCAGCAGGTTGTCCAGCTTAAGATCCCTGAAGGACACACACACACACACACACACACGCTTCTGAAGTGCAGCTAGGAACAACGTAGACGTTTCCTGAAGCAGCCAGAGAAGGACTTACCTGTAAACTATTTTGTTTTGGTGTAGAAACTCCAGGCCGAGCAGCACACAGGAAGAATAAAACCTAAAAGAGACAGTTATTAATAGACGCTCCGTCCTGTATTTGGGCCTTGGTCCCTGATAGGAGTGTGTGTGCTCACCGCGCCTGCTTCTCTGTGAAGATGCTGGCGTGGATGTGTGTCATCAGGTCTCCTCCGGGGCAGTAGGCCATGACGAAGCACACGTGCTCTGCAGTCTGGAAGCAGCCGAACAGGTTCACCAGGAACGGATGCTGCGAGGTGTTGATCACCTCGAAGATCCTCTTCTCACACATCAGGCTGAACACACACAAGTGGAGGGTCAAACATTCCTGAATGCTGTATTATACACTTGACTTTCATTATGACTATACACCTTCACTTATTAAGAGCTGGTTATTAATGAAAATGCTGGGTCTTTGTATCACTCAGTTATTTATTATCATTTCAAAAGGGGCCTTTTTATGAGTTTTGGAGTGTTCCCTCTCCTGTAGTGTGTTCTATAGGTTTCTGTGCATGTAAATGGTCTGCAAAGGCTAAAATCCCTGTGTTCCCTCCAGAGGGAGTTTCTCTCATACACAGCTTTTTAGGAAATGACGTAGCGCTGCTCTCATCTATGGACTCCGTTGTTTATTTCCGTAACATAGTGACATCACTATGAAACACTTGCACTTCCATTAGCTAGCGCTCCAACACATTGTACGTGATAGTCTAAGGGGCGGGACATCTGGAAGCGATTGACCAATCACAACAGAGCCGGCCGGCCAGCTAACCAATCAGAGCAGACTGGGCTCTGATTTCAGACAGAGGGTGAAAAGAGGTGCTGCAGCACAGGCAGTATGAGAACAATAAAGAGCTTTTTGAACATTAAAGCATGGAGACATGTCCCAGTAGAGACACTACATACTGATATACACCTGATCATCAGCAGGAGAGGACTCTTTAAAGTAGAGACACTACATACTGATATACACCTGATCATCAGCAGGAGAGGACTCTTTAAAGTAGAGACACTACATACTGATATACACCTGAACATCAGCAGGAGAGGACTCTTTAAAGTAGATACACTACATACTGATATACACCTGAACATCAGCAGGAGAGGACTCTTTAAAGTAGAGACACTACATACTGATATACACCTGAACATCAGCAGGAGAGGACTCTTTAAAGTAGAGACACTACATACTGATATACACCTGAACATCAGCAGGAGAGGACTCTTTAAAGTAGAGACACTACATACTGATATACACCTGAACATCAGCAGGAGAGGACTCTTTAAAGTAGAGACACTACATACTGATATACACCTGAACATCAGCAGGAGAGGACTCTTTAAAGTAGAGACACTACATACTGATATACACCTGAACATCAGCAGGAGAGGACTCTTTAAAGTAGAGACACTACATACTGATATACACCTGAACATCAGCAGGAGAGGACTCTTTAAAGTAGAGACACTACATACTGATATACACCTGAACATCAGCAGGAGAGGACTCTTGAGTATAAAACAGCCATTTTTTGCAGTTCAGTTTTATGTTATGATGTAAAATTGCAGAGAGAACATGCTTGTAATGATGACAGTGAACATTTAAAAACAGCTTTATCATGGTGTGGTTATGCAGTAGCCAGTGGTTCAAGCTGGTGAACACACTGAAGATGTAATACATGCTGAGTCGCTTTGATATAGTTCATGTTGGTGAGGTGTGTGTCAAATCTTTCCCCAGGTGTTTTTAACGTTGACCTCAGTTACCAATATCAATACCCAGTTATAGTCGAGAAGGTAACCTCACATATTTTCCCCTTTTCACAGCTTTTAAGGCGATATGCATGCTTTAAAGCAGACTTATTGTCTTTATTCTACTATTGATAAAGATGCAGGTTAAAGAACAACGTATTTAATGCAAGAAAGGATCATGAATGATTGTTTAAGTTACGTTCTCAGACAACGCTCTGCAGCGAGGTGACAATATTGGGTTATCCAGTTATCCTTGGGCTAATCTCGGTTTTCACCAAGCCAAAGCCTTTCTTATTGGGGTAGATCACCATGGCAACATGTAAACATTAACACCACTGACCATCAACCCACTGGAAAAATACATTCCTACAGGACCCTTCTATGGCTTTCAACACACACACACACACACACACACACACACACACACACACACACACACACACACACACACACACACACACACACACACACACACACACACACACACACACACACACACACACACACACACACACACACACACACACACACACACACAGTTAATTAGCTCACATTATTGTAAATGCAACACTTCAGATAGACCTCAACAGGCTTGCTTTTGTAATAGTATTGCATATTATAACAGTATAACATTGCGTTTAAACTTTTTAAATTTCAAAAAGTTTAAAACATCTAATAATGAGAATGTTGGAAATACTAGAAAATACATCTATATATAAACAATCCTTTGATGGTTGCTTTAATATCATATGAAGTACTTCTCATTTCAATCCCGTCTCTGTCCCATGAACAGCTCACAGCATAGTGAACAGAGCCAGTTCACAAGCAGCTTCTCACGGTTCTTTAGAAACACTAAGGTTACCAGCGGCATTGACACTAGAATTATATTTAACGTTTCATGTTGAAGAAATGCTCACCTGTCCACTTCGTCACGTGTCATGATGTCTCCTTTCTTCAGGGCTTTGATGGCGCACAGCTTGCTGGACTTCTTATACTCTGCCAGCAGCACCTTTCATCAGTTACAAGATACAGAGGCAATATGAATGCAACTCAACCTTCATATCTTAAACATTTCTAACATTACAGAGTACAGACAGGGGCTGAGGGAGGGAGGGAGGGAGGTTTCTGGAGGGACTTGGACTGGGGAAGATGAGATTGACACCTTTTACCTTAATTTCTCCCTGACTCAGATCTTTGGTTCTGCTCTGGACACTTCTACAGGTAGAACAAGGAGAGTAGATGCGTACCTTACCAAAGTGACCTCTCCCCAGGACTGAAATGCAGTTGAAGTCTCGCATGTGAAGTCCTTGGTCCATGCTGCAAGAAAGTGCAAAAGAGCACAGATTGAAGAACTCCTCACCCATTTTGATCATTTTCTAATAGTTCTGTGTCCTCCACGATCATATCATAAATAAAAAGGGTCTTTAATGGCATCATGCATAACAAAGAAGAAAGGCCAAAGTTAGGGTGGTAAATGTATTATGTATCATTTTACAGTTTAAACTTAATATACAAAAAATATATTAAAGGTCACCTGTTATGCAAAAGTCCCTTTGTCATGTCTTTCATACATAAATATGTGTCTCCTCTGTGTTAATAGTCTCAGAAAGTCTCAGGAACCAAAACCCCTCTTTTTGTTCTGATCCATGTAAAGGGAAATTCATTTGGTGAGCCTTCATCTTCATTTTCTTTAGGTCTATGCATGTGACCACTCATGATTATGTAAGTGTAGTGTTCCAGTAATGTACAGATGGACAGCGACCTTTGGTTTGTTTGTTCTAATGTGAGACTTAAGGGTGGGGGTAAAGCTGTTCTAACGTGGGACTCCAAGGATAGGGGTCCAGCTTATGGCTATGGCGCGTTCACACCGGAGTACTTTTCCCACAATAGTTCATCAGAACTACGATATATTTGCGTTCACACCAAAAAGCCCCAGGAACTAAATTAGTTCATCAGAACCATTTTTACCCGCTTTTCAGTCCCTGCTAGAGAGCAGGGACTTTCGTGGGAGAAAAAGGTTCATATGTCTGATTGGCTGGGCGGAATGCAAACCACGCCCCGTAAATCTCTGAAAAGGTTTTGCTCGCCGCCATTGTTTTGTTCGCATTAAACTCAGCGCAGCGCACCAACGAAGAGATTACTTTTGTGAAAGCAGTTATTATGGCAACACTAAATAAATCATCGGAGCGGTGGAGTGATGAGGATGTGTCGGTGCTTCTGGCGATCTACTCGGAGGACGTGATCCAGAAGCTTCTACTGAAGGCAGTTTCCGTTGTTCAGCAAAGTTAGCCGGCCTGGGAACCGTCCACAGCGCAAAGTCATGCCGGGACGACGACGATGGTAAAATAAAATACATGCACTGCACTGTTTTAATCTGCACAATACTGGTCTCAGATGTACTTTTATTTGCTCAGTAGATCGAGCTAGCCATGCTGGCTAACACTGTTAGCAGGCTGACTCCAAGCTGGCGAACAACATCTAGCTAGCTAGCTATTCTCAGCCGCTATGAAAACGTTTTGACTTGTGAATAAGTGTGCAATGTTCTGTAATTTGCTTCACTAACTTAAAGCTTAAACAGTTGATTACCTGCATGCCACAAAGACTGATGTTCTAATATTTTGCACATTTAAGTAAAAATGTAATTGAAATTCAATTTATTTTTCCTTTTTTTTTATTGATTGTTATAATTGTACTCAGCCATGTTATGTTAGATGTCAATCCACTTACACTGTAACTACTCTGGCCTTGAAAGAAGGTTACGCATCTAACTGATGTCCACTAATCCCTATAAAACAAGTTCAAGCATACATTAAGCACAAAACAATAAATAAGGGCACTTTGATATTTATTTTTTATTTGATATTATTTGATCCTATCTTATCTTCTACTTTACACCTGTATTTTGTACACTGTCCCTGCCTGCACCATGTCCAATGTTGTCTCTGTTGACAACCTACTAGGCGATTAAACTGATCTTGTATCTTGCTTATTTCTCCTGAGGAAAGCGGGCACGCGATGACAGCTTCCTTGACACCATCATGGCGATGGACCGCCGTCCCACGGTCAGCAAGGAGAATGAGGACCTGCGTGCCAAGGAGATGCACGACGAACAGCTGCTGCATGCACACAAGGCCCAGGAATCGGACGACCAGCTGCTCATGGTGATGCCGCGCCATGCTGACAAGGCGGCGTGCCAGGTGGAGGTGTCGGCGCGCCAGGTGGAGCAACAAAATACCTTTCAGGCTGGGCTTCTGGCAGTGCTAAGCGAGCTGATTAAATCCAACAGGCCTTCAATAAAAAAAAAAAGGAGGCGTGTGGCACAGGTTCAAACCCCACTGCAGTCAGCATGTCGTTGTGTCCCTGGGCAAGACACTTCACCCCAAATTGCCTACACCTGGGACAGTTAATTTTGTATTATTGTGATTATATATATGCCACTGTTATTAATACTGACACTTCACTTTGCACTAAGGTGTGTCTGCTGCTGAGCTATTGTATATTGTTATTATATATATATTGCCACTCTTATTATATTGTTTTGATACTACTGACACTTTCTTTTATATTGAAAATGTTAACTTCTATTTACATTAAAACTTTTAACTTGTATTTACATGCATACGACACACCTGGGACAGCGTGATGCCGTTATTGATATTGTCTTGAGTGTGCAATAAAAGAGAACCTACATGGCGATTAAACAGATAATGTATCTTGCTTATTTCTCCCCTGACACTTTATCTTTACAGTGACCTGTGTAGCATCCTATACATCACATGTAAGTGATTATTCTGATACCATCATGTTTCATCGGTTATAAACTGGCGAAGCTTTATTTATTGCGGCTTTCAAAAAGATAATTTCATTGTATTTCAAAATGGCGTCCATCAACACAAGCACTATTTATAGAAAGAGAAATGGTTAAGTTTGTAATTACCAGTGTTGTGAGTTCAATATTTGTAATTAATTATAGTAAGGGAACATCTTAGGAGTTAGTGTAGTGAGTTTCAGAGCAGTGTAATAATGATTTGACCTAAAACTAAATGTTTTTATGAATGTCCTCTGAGGAGGACATGGGGATTTGCTAACTTTTTATTTCCCCCATTTTACACGACACAAATGGAGGCCACTATGGGCCACAACTAACACGTAGGTTTCTGTAGGGTTCATGGCAGACGGATGCAGTTGCTCTCAGGAGGATATATAATAAAAGGTGTGTTAACTGCTGAGCCTATTTACTGTGCATACGACACACCTGGAACAGTTTATTCATTTCACACAGGTTACGCAATCCATAGCGTGTGCATGTCGTCGTCCAATCCTTTTGTCAATCCTTCTTAACCGCCTTCGCTTCCGTATCAGCATTGCTATTGCATTTGACTGGTCGACGATCTGTATTTGTGTTTGCTTAAATAACTCAGACGAAGCTCATGTCTGAGGTCGGAAGGTAACCAGACGCCTCATATACAGCAGGTGGGCGTGGCAGTATACGCGGGAGGTTCTTCTTCTTCTCTCGGTTTTCTGGCGGATTGCAACTTTAAGGTGCATACCGCCACCTACTGTACTCGCCGTGAAGTTGTTTGCGGCCTGCCAGTAAACCCAAAGCAGAAGAAGAAGAAGTGACGCGCCTATATGTGTCCTTCAACAGCAGTGCCTGCCTATGGAGCTTGGGTGCATAAAAGCCTGCTGGACAGAAGGAGATGGGGTCAGACTTCCCCAGGCCTACGCGGCAGAGGAACTCTGTCCCTGTACAGCTGAGCAGTATACCACTGCTCTGTTTGTGTTCAATCATTGTTCTTGTTCCTTTTGTAATAAATGTTAAAAATTTGAGAGAAGTCTGAATGCTTTTCATTTCTCACCAGGAAATACATTCATTTCCACCACAATCCATTTATATAAAAACCTGTCTGAAAATGAGCTGATCAGATGTTGGCCACTCTGTGATGTCACAATGTTTTTAACCAATCACTTCACAGAGGGGCGTGGCCAGCAGCAGCTCATTAGCATTTAAAGCTAAAGACACAGAATCAGCACTTTTGAAACAGGGCTGAAACAGAGGGGATTATGGGATGCTGCAATGATCTGTTTGGTGTTTCAGCCAATCAGAGACATGTTCTGTATATATCTGAGACCTGGAATATATTGATGAAAAAGAGTATAATAGGGGACCTTTACAGCGGATATACCCTCTCAGTAGGACTTACTGTGGGGGGGGATGAATTGAGGGATTTCTCCTGGGCTTCGGGCTCTTGTTCTCACTAGGACACTGTCAGGGAATAGAATTAAAGAAACGCATGAAAACAAAATAAAAACAAAGACATTGATTTTAAGAGAGAAACAGGACACACCACTATATTTAAACAAAGTAAATATTATCTGCTATTAATCCCTTATTTTACTGGCAATTATAACATAATAATGTAGAAGTGTTCACCCCTGGAGATTCTTTAGTGTGCTTTCTTGAGCGATGTGGAGATGGGCTGCTCTGCTCTTCAGGGAAATGTAGCCCCAGCACAGCAGCATCTCTGAAACAAGAGGAAGAGGTTACTTAAGTGCTGCCTTATGGCTGCTCTTAGTTTAGTTATCTTCAGTGATGCATCTTTATTTACTTAGATTCATTTCTTTAAGCATTAGTGATGTTAACAAATTAACAACCAAATCTTTTTACAGTCCAGTATGTGGCAGGTCAGCCTGTCAAACGTCCACACAAAGAAAACACATGTATCAAGTGAAAGTAACCAACACTGAGAACAGAGTCTGTCTGCACTTACACTAAAGTTACAGTCTCAAAGCACAAGATATAAGAACCTCCTGTTCTCATGAGGGACTAACTCCTAACAGTGCCCACTGATATGTCACTTTGGATCTACAGTTTGAAAATAATGTCATGTTCTTTACTTCTTTTTACTCATTAATCATGTCCTCTTATCTTTTTTCATAGATATACAGATGTATATTTGTTATGTATAAAAATTCATGGCAAAAGTTATGCACTTGTTTTTAAAAAGATTTTAGATGTAGATTTAATGTTCAAAAAAGGAGGGAAAAAAACAGTTTAAAGTCTATTTTGGGTGACGGTGAATGGAGTGGGTCAGATAAAGTGCAGTGAAAGAAACAAGAGTCATTTGTAAGCAATGATCACTCAAACAACAGGAATGGTGCTTTTGTAGGGGACATTGTTTTAGCAACGGATTGATCATCATTGGATTGAGTCTAAATAAAGTATGACAATCTAAACCACTTCAATCAAACCTGCTGTCCTCTCCTGCACTACATCCAGAGCTGGGTCCTCCCCACAACATCAGAACAACTTGAGCTGATCAAATATCACAATATCCTATCTAACATCCTCCTTTTGTCTTTCCTTTTCCTACTCCTTTCTTTATGTATTCTTTTCTTTATTGTCATTATTTATCTTTATTTTTTTTTCTTCATTTTGTGTACTTAGGTTGGTTATAAATACTTTTTGTTTGTACATATGTTTGGTTTGCACTGTGAAAAATGATAATACAAAGTAAACAAAGAAATGAAGTATACAGAATATTGTATGGTTAGAAATTATGAATAAAGTTGACATATTGTTATTGTTGACGATGCCATGATTTTAGGGCAGGAATACCGTGAACATAGTTTAACGTGACAGAGGAATAAATACACACATACACTGTCAGCTTTGCTTCAACCGGAAGTGACACGTTTTATTGCGCATGTCCCTTTTATCACGGGAATACAGGAAGTGATTAGTATAAGAGTATTAAATAAACAAATTCATATATTACAATTCATAATTCAACACCCCCACTTACTCTATACTGCACAAATTCTCAACATTAATTCAAATCTAAACACCTTGTACACTTGCACAATAACACAGTGTTTGAAACTTCTGGGGTTATTTACATTCCAAACAAATACTTTACAAATGTCTCACTTTTGACCTTTGTTGCTGGCTTAGTGAAAATATCAGCAACCATATCCGCTGTAGGGCAATAGTCAATGGTTATCATGTTATCACTCAGTACAGTTCGAACAAAATGATACTTGATATCCACATGTTTACATCGTTGACAACATACTGGGTTCTTGGATAGAGCGCACCCTGGTTATCTTCAAAGATGTTCACAGGAGTATATTGACCCTCACTATCCATGCTCTCTATTAGCTGCACAAGATACAAACTCTCTTGTGCGGTGGCAGCCAGTGCCATGTACTCTGCCTCACATGTCGACAAAGCTACTGTTTGCTGTTTCTTTGATCTCCAAGAAATAACAGGCCCATTGCTAGTTAGACTAAAACAGTACCCTGTTATACTCCGTCTGTCATTTTGGTCTGTTGCCCAATCCGCATCACAGTATGCAACAAGTTTCAGTTTTTCTTCTTGTTTAAAACATAGCTCCTGATTAATTGTGCCCTTTAAGTACCTCAATACATGTTTAGCAGTTAACCAGTGTTGTTCTTTTGGCTCTGAAAAATACTGTGACAGTTTACTGACTATCCAACTTAGATCAGTCCGTGTAGATGTCATTAAATATATTAAGCTGCCTACCACTTCACGATATTGTGTTGCATCAACAGTTTCACCATCATCATCAAAGTTTTGTTTCTGTTCACACGGGGTGGACCTTGGCTTACAGTCATTCATACCAAACTTTTCCACTATTTTTGTTATGAATTTCTTTTGACTCATCCTTATTTCTCCTTTTTCCTGAGTAAAGTCAATGCCTAGGAAATGTTTAAGTTTCCCAAGATCCTTCATTTTGAATTTTGTGCTCAACATTTCTTTCACAGTATTAATTGCGTGAATATCATTAGCTGCGATAACTAAGTCATCCACCCAAATAATCAGAATGATCCTCTCATTTTCTATTCCTTTACTGTAGACACAGTGATCAGCTGGGTTTTGTGCAAAACCGTTCATCTGGCTTTATATATCTCAATCTTTTCTGTGTTTTCTTTGATTGTATAGACCCAGCTACCCCCCACTGCATTTTTGCCCTCTGGTAGTGTGGTCAATGTGAATGTGTCATTTTCCTTAAAGGCCGCTACACACCCACCTGAGACCAAAGAACGCGTACCGAAGGCGTCCCGACTTTTACGTCAGCTACGTCGCCTGCGTCGCCTGCCTACGCCGCCCGCCTACGAACACACCGCAAATACTTCAGTCGACGAGTGGCAATAACTGTCCTTACCAGCAGGCAGCGGTAGTGTGAACAGCCAATCAGAGTGATTGCTTGTCCCGACTTTCTCTGACCTCCCGCGGCCGATTCAACATGTTGAATCGGCCGCGGGAGGCGTCGGGAGGTGTGAAAAGGTGCCGTAAAGAGACGACGGTGCGGGACACACAAACCTGAGTAGGGCGCCGCGACTGCCTCTGACGGCCTCTGACGGCCTCTGACTCCCAAAATCGGGCTGGTGTGTCCGGGCCTTAAGAGAATTCATTTCCTCCTGCATAGCATCAGTCCAGAGTTTTGACGCATGGCCTCTTTAAAGGTGTTTGGTACATTACACATTACTCTGTAGCAGTAGTCAATATATACATACTAGGGCTGTCAGTCGATTAAAATATTTAATCGCGATTAATCGCATGATTGTCCATAGTTAATTGCGATTAATCGCAAATTAATCGCACATTTTTTATCTGTTCTAAATGTACCTTAGAGGGATATTTTTCAAGTTTTTAATACTCTTATCAACATATGAGTGTACAACTATGCTTTATATGTTTGTTTATTATCATTTGAACAATGACAAATATTCTCATGAATATTAAACACAACAACCTCTGAACATTACAAATATTCGCCTCAATTCAACCTGGAAGCTCTCTCATACAATCCTGTGTGTGTGTGTGTGTGTGTGTGTGTGTGTGTGTGTGTGTGAGTGAATGTGGAGGATCGTTGGAGCTATGTGCAGCTCAAGGCATATATGCCTGTGTGTATGAGCTGTGTTGCGGCACTATCCGTGCTGAGTGTGCTGTCTGGCTACCTGCATAAAGTCAAGTGCTCGGCGCAGTTGTCGGCGAAATGTCGCTCCTCTGTTTTCATTGAAACAGCTCCTTATATCCGTTAGCTCAGCTAGCTAGCACCAGATGCTAACAACAACACGTAAGGTGTGCTTCGCTCGCGCCACACATACACACACCCTCCCGGTCCTCCCGATGGCCAGTCCGGGCCTGCCGGTGAGCGTGGAAGTGTGGTCTGCCACAAGCGGGCAGCAGGAGCGGGGCTGTCAGCATCAGCTTGTAGATGGTATTTTAAACTCGATGCGCTCTGAAACTACGGCGGCCGAGGACAAAAAATACACATGCGTTAATCGCGTTAAAATAATTAGTGGCGTTAATTTTTTTTTGCGTTAACGCGTTATTAACGCGTTAACTTGACAGCCCTAATACATACTTATGGTCGTCACACTGTACTTTACATTCGTAGTCCTCTAAATACTGAGGTCTCTTCCTTTCTCTTTGGGGACAGCGTCTATTTTGACCTTCTGCTCCCTTTCCTGTCTGAGTGTTAGTGTCATCTGTCTCAGTTCAAGCCTCCTGTGTCTCTTTTGGACATGAGTCAGTCCCCTGGGTTTCTGGCTTGGTGGATACAAACCTTTTCTCATAAAAATCGTCATCACTTGCCTCAAAATCAGTCTGTGTATGTCGCTCGACTACACTTTTTGTGACAAACCAGCGTGTCTTGCTCTCCTAACTCTAAATGCAGGTCAGCGAGTTACTCTCAGCCCTCCCCAGTGGAAAGCTGAGCAAAGACAATAATTGGCCACTTTTGTGACAGCGTTGTCACAGCTGTGTCAGAGAGATGTTTCTGGCCCACAGAGTCTTACCGTGGCGGGGAAGTGTTTGCTGATGGGGGGCCAGTGAGATGGCCAGCTAAGGGAGGGCTCATGGGCTCCAGGGAGCTGCAGGGGGGCAGGATGCTCATCATCAAACGGCCCCACGTAGCAAAGTTCATGTTCATCTGGGCCGCACGCAGGAAGTCCTTCCCTGAAGACAAAAAAAGAGATGGATCAGAACTGTATACTCAAAGGCTTTAAAATGCAAGCAGTGGAAATCTAAAATAAATCATAACAAATATTTAACAAAATGATGTCAGATTTCTTTTTATGTCTTATCATTTTGTTAACAGTAAACTATAACTAAAGAGAGCCTGAAACACGACTTCAACAAGCTAAAGTAATACATGAATATTTGAAGACATGATGCAATATGAGAACATGTTGCTACCTCTCTCTTTTGGGAAGATTCTCCTCTGCCTCTGGAGTTTGGAGCGCCGCTCAATGACAGGATTGATAAACGTCACCTGGAAATGAGCAGAATTGTGATTTTTATTTGGGATGGATGTAACATGGATATTTGTGTGGCTGTGTCATATTTATTTTAATCGCACCTATTAATCCCCAGCTGATCAATAATAGAAAACAAATGATAATATACATATATGGACATGGATATTTTTATGTTTCATGTGGAACCTATATGCTGCAGGTCTCCCTTGAAAAAGAGATCTATGATCTCAATGGGACCAATCTGGTTAAATAAAGGTTTGAAATGAAAAATGAAATGAAATGGACATGAGTAAAACTTTTCATTTTTAAATATTCAAGATTCAAAGGCGTTTTATCGTCACATGCACAGTAGCTACAGTACAGTGTACAGGCAATACAAATCTTTAGTTGAAAGCCCCTCCAAAAATGCAACATAAATGTATATAAGACATAAAACAATAACACAAAAAAAAACAATAAAAATAGTGCAAAAAGAAACAGTAAAATAGAGTAGAATAAAATGGTGCAATATTATGTTGCAAGACCAATGTGCAAGTAATGAAGATGAATTAAACTATATACATGTAAAAAACTAAAATAATACAATAAGCAAAATGATGCAGAGAAGGATTTTAGTGACCAAGTAAATGCAGGAGTCTAGATACATAAATAGAAGAAGATAAACAAGAATTAAATGTAAAATGAAATACTGTACAGTGAAATGTGTCATTTATATTATTAGAAGCCAAACTTTTATCTGGAATGAGAAATGTAGCATTCATATGTGAGAAGCACAGTGTCCAGTGATGAGTGCGTAAGTGTAGTTTGAATATAGAGAGATGCAGGAGGAGATAAAGGTGACATATGAGAATATGAACCTCAATAAAGAGCAGGCCCTGGGGCTCCAGCTGCAGACACATGCCATGCCTCTGATTATCCAGGAAGTCCTCCAGCCGCAGGAACTTCACCCCGCTCAGCGCCCGCCAGTCCCTCCTGTGGACAGCGATCTCCAGCTCCCTGGACTACACACACGGGATTTCATCACATGTTTGCCTGCCAAATACTGAATTAATACATTTGGTGAAGCAGCATTATCGTTTTGTACTCCCCATGACTTGTCCTTTTAAATGTGAAGGCTGAGTGATAGACAGAGAATGAGAGCTGGAATGTTCAATGCAATATCTAAACATGAGTCTTAGGGATGGGGGGTGTGTAAGGGTAAAGCCAGATTAGATCAAATGTCCGAGGATTAGCAGAGACTCACTGACAGCTCTGTGTTATTGTTCTGCTGTTGACAGATGTTCACCATTAAGGAACATTCAGATGACATCTTGCAATAAACGAGTGCAAGCGACACTGTTAGTTTAACACAAACTGCAGCAGCTATCATGAAGAGGAGACGGCAAGAAGAGAGTCTCTGGAACTATTTGACAGCGGGCTGATCATGGTTAACTGTTGTAGGTTACATTAGGCACAATAATGCAGATGATTAGAATCTGCTGGTTCCTTTATAGTCAGCATGGATAGTGAAGCATTCTGCTGCCTTATAAACATGTGTACAGGTGACTTCTCTTTTTGGAGAACTGTAATCGTTTTCTCACAGAAAATGTTACTTGATGCCTCATATGTGTTTTATGATTATCATTTGTATGTTTCTCTTTAAAGCATGGGAGGCGGATCATAAGCTGATCGGAGGAGCAGGGCTGTACACAGATGCAATTCTAAACAATATATTGAGTGAGCAGCACATTATTAAATGAACCTTTAGTTATTTAGTACTTCCTAGACAACACCATCATTACCCTCTATCTGTAACATGTGAACCACACTTTCTTTACATTCAAATACTGCTCTTTCTAAGACAGCAGTTTTACTATAAATATATTTTTTGTAAAACTGCAGTATTACAGTCAAGGCAACTTAGTTAGTTCTCAGGTTTCAAGCAGGATTGTGGAGTAAGCATTAGATAAGAGCAGTTGTGTATGAGGTATGTATGTTGGAGGTTGTGGCTCAGTGGTTAGTGCGCTGATCTTCGGATCACGGGGGCACTGGTTCAAATCCTGCTGCAGTCAACATTCCGCTGTGTCCTTGGACAAGACACTTCACCCCAAATTGTTCCTGTATTGAATGTATGTAAGTCGCTTTGGATAAAAGCGTCTAACAAGTGACATGTAATGTAATGTATGAGTTAGTTTGTGGGTCTGTTGCAGTGCAGCCACTGACCCGCTCCAGTTCGATGTTGAAGCTCTGGCCCCACGCCTCTTTACCCAGAGGCCTCCACTGGGAACGCCCCACGATCCTGTTGTCCACCTTCAGCACAGCACTGATCTCCGCTGACAGACACAGAATAAATATATTGTATGATAAGAAAGGGAGCAGCATTGTTTGTTGTCATGGTGACAGCCATATTCTTCCATAATTAAGCTTGGTGAGCAGCATCATTTTTTGCTTTTAAAGCCCCCGACCCTCAATATCTATATCTGTCGTTTGTAGTTAGGTATATCTCTATCAGTTACATTTATATCATTTCAGTTTTACTGCATTGACTAGTTTAGGCCACATGTCAAAATATTCGTAAGACACTAATTCGTAAGGCACTAAGATCCATTTCATTTGAATGAAATGGATAGTTTAATTTGAATGAAATGACCAAAACTCACCTTTTCAGACAAGCTTTTAATGTGTGATTGATGCCGTGTCATTGGGACAAATGTGGTTTTATTGATCGATATTCATTTGACTTTTTATCTTAATTTTTACCTCTGTAAAGCGTCTTTGAGCACCTGATAAAGTGCTTCATAAATCAAATGTATTATTATTATAATGGATTTGCTAGGTTATTATGAATGTATGCAAGTACCGTTTCTTTTATACATATTTGTTATACACATATATATGTATAGTGTGAGAGTGAGTGAGTGTGAGTGAGTGAGTGAGTGAGTGAGTGAGTGAGTGAGTGTGTGTGTGTGGACCCACACAGATCCAGATTCCACCTACAGGAACTCATACAAACCATAAATACTAGGAGACCAAAAGAAATGTAAACATAGCTGCTTGACTTTCATAAAGGGAGGTCAAATGACCTTAAAAGTGTTGGTTGCAGTTTGACTTACAGGACAGCTCCTCAGTCTTGGTTGTCTTGCCGTTGGCGCTTCGTCCGGACAGGCCAGCCTTCACCTTCACAGACTTCCCCTCCGAGAGACTCCCAGAGGAGGAGGAGGTGCTGGTCCCGCGGTCCCGGCCCGGAACACACTCCAACAGGTCCTGGCAGCCCATCAAACACACCTCCAAACGCCCTGTGGGAAAGAGACACAATTATCAAATCATTTAAAAATAATTGCTGGGAATTTCTTCAGTGGTGGAACAAAGTAAAAGTACCATTATCCATCAATGCATAGGTGTTGCTGTGTTGGTTGAAATAAGTAAGATGATGGCTGGGAAAGAAGAAAAACAAATACACATATACTATATACTATATATAGTGAAGGAAATAATTATTTCATCCCTTGCAGATTTTGTAAGTTTGCCCACTTAAAAATAAATGAACAGTCTATAATTGTAATGGTAGGTTTATTTGAACAGTGAGAGTAAGAATATCAAAAAGAAAATCCAGAAATTGACATGATATAAAAGATAAAAAATGGATATGCATTTAACTGAGGGAAATAAGTATTTGATCCCCTTGCAGAACATGTGTTAGTTCTTGGTGGAGAAACCCTAGTTGGACACACAGAGGTCAGACGCTTCTTGTAGCTGGTCTCCAGGTTTGTGCACATCTCAGGAAGGATGTTGGTCCACTCCTCTCTGAAGACCCTCTCCAAATCCTTCAGGTTTTGAGGCTGATGCTTGGCCTCTGGAAGCTTCAGCTCCCTCCACAGATGTTCTATGGGATTAAGGTCTGGAGACTGGCTAGGCCCCTCCATCACCTGAATGTGCTTCTTCTTTAGCCACTCCTGTGTTGCCTTGGCCGTATGTTCAGGGTCATTGTCCTGCTGGAAGACCCCTCCATGACCCATGTTCAGTGTCCTGGCTGAGGGAAGGAGGCTATCGGCCAAGATGTTACGGTACATGTCCCCGTACACCCTCTCCTCGATGCAGGGAAGTGGTCCTGTCCCCTTAGCAGAGAAACACCCCCAAAGCAGAATGTTTCCACCTCCATGCCTGACGGGGGGGGGGATGGTGTTCTGGGGTTATAGTCAGCATCTCTCTTCCTCCAAACACGGCGTGTCCAGTTGATGCCAATCTGACCACATCCTCTTCTCCCAAGCCTTCTCTGAATCATTCAGAGGTTCGTTGTCAAACTTCAGACGGCCTTTCATGTTTCTCTTGAGCAGAGGACCTTCAGGCGCTGCAGGATTTGATCCTCCTGTGTAGTTCTGGGCTGATCCCTCACCTTTCTCATGATCATCAATACCCCACGGGGCCAGAGCTTGTGTGGAGCCCCAGACCGAGGGCGACTGATGCTCATTTTGTCTTTCTTCCATTTCTGAATAATGGCACCAACAGTTGTCTCCTCACCGATTTTTGGGGTAAAATTCTGGCTAATTTCACCCTTTTTGGCTTCAAACAATTATTGAATTTAAATGATTTTAGTTTAGTCTCTGTGATGCTGGGGCCGAACCCAGCCCCTGCCTTTGTGTTCGGGACCTCAGGCCAAACTGATAGGGACTACTGCTTTAATCATAAACAATGGATTGTATTTCATAAGCTTATTATGTTTTTATGTCAAATCTATGTGAAACATAACTTCTTAAATAAATGAAGTGGAGTAAATGTACAATATTACTAATATACATTGGAATATATTAGTAGCCACCTGTAAGACTGGCTGGTTTGAAGAAGGATGAAGAGGAGGAGGACGGAGCTTTGGAGAGTTTCTTCTGTGTTTCGTAGGAAGGCGAGGTTCTGGACTCCAGCTCCTCTCTGATGGCTGTGCGCCTGGGATGATCCTCAGGAAGCTCACTCAGACGCCTCTCCAGAGACAGAGTCAACAGATCCACCTTCTGAGAGGACTCCTGCATCCGTGCCGAGGCCTGAGGGACACACAACAGTTTCTTATTGCCATGTAGCATCTTGTGCATACATTTTCTGCAGTCATGATATAAAGAGAATTTAAATGACTCACAATGAGCAAACAGATGATCATTTGATTACAAACTGCGCAATAGAGAGTTCAGCAGCATCCCTCATAATACCGTGTCAAACCCTGAGCACAGTGCTGCTTCACTACATGCTGCCAAATCTTTCTTTTGCTTTGTTTCCAGCAGTGCCATATATTTATTATGTGCTGCTCTTTAGTCACCAACATCACAGTTTTGTCTTTTCAATTTCGTACATGATGCAGTATGTGTTTCAATGTTAGGCTCATTTAACACTTTTCAAAAATAAACCTTGATGAAACCCCCCTCAGAATGCCATTTTACTCAGTTATTTTCTCTGCCTTTGATCTTTTTAAGTTTAGTGTGCTCTGCTGCCCTCTGGGAGGCGCTACAGCAACCAGGTTCAGGAACCTGGCTGAACTCAGAGCTTCTTCCCCTCAGCTATCACCTGGCTGAACTCAGAGCTTCTTCCCCTCAGCTATCACCTGGCTGAACTCAGAGCTTCTTCCCCTCAGCTATCACCTGGCTGAACTCAGAGCTTCTTCCCCTCAGCTATCACCTGGCTGAACTCAGAGCTTCTTCTCCTCAGCTATCACCTGGCTGAACTCAGAGCTTCTTCCCCTCAGCTATCACCTGGCTGAACTCAGAGCTTCTTCCCCTCAGCTATCACCTGGCTGAACTCAGAGCTTCTTCCCCTCAGCTATCACCTGGCTGAACTCAGAGCTTCTTCTCCTCAGCTATCACCTGGCTGAACTCAGAAGAAATAGTGGATTCATTTTCTAAACTGCTGTTTGTAATGTTTATACTGCCTGTTGTCACGGCTTGAACAGTCCGCTGGCATTACAGGCTCTGCCCTTGCATGGTCCAGGTCCTACCTGACTGACCGTAGCTTCTCAGTACAGCTAGGTGCCTTCTCCTCTGCTGAAGCCCCTCTTACCTGTGGGGTTCCCCAAGGCTCTATTCTGGGCCCCATCCTCTTTTTACTGTACATACTGCCCCTAGGTTCAATTCTCACAAAACACAATATTCCCTTCCACTGCTACGCCGACGATGTACAGATATATCTGCCTCTCAAAGCAAATGTCAAACACTCACTACAGCAGTTGATGGACTGCTTAACAGAGATAAAATCCTGGCTGAGCAAAAACGTTCTCAACCTCAACAAGACTGAGGTCATCTTTTTTGGACCCCAACCTCCAGCCTCTCCGGTTGATATTCTGGGCTCTCTTAATAAAAACATCCTCCCCTCTGTCATGAACCTTGGAGTGACCTTCACTAGCACTTTTAAATTCGACAAGCAGGTCAGCACCGTAGTCAAATCCTGCTTTTTTTAAATAAGACTATTGGCCAAAACCAAGTCGTTTTTATCTTTTAATGACTTAGAAAGTGTTATTAACGCCTTTGTTACCTCAAGACTGGATTACTGCAACGCTCTGTATGTGGGTATGGACCAGGCCTCAATTAGACGCCTGCAGCTAGTCCAAAACGCAGCTGCACGTTTGCTGACTGGCCACAAAAAGTCAATCACCCCAATTCTGGCCTCACTGCACTGGCTTCCAGTTCGGTTCAGAATTGATTTTAAAATCCTTTTATTTGTTTTTAAAGCACTAAATGGGCTGGCTCCGGCCTATATAGCTGAACTCCTCCAGCGCTACACCCCAGCCAGAGCTTTAAGGTCTGCTGACCAGCTGCTGCTGGTAGTGCCCAAGACCAGGCTCAAAACCCGAGGGCACCGAGCCTTCGCAGCAGCTGGCCCTAGGCTCTGGAACACTTTGCCCCTCCATGTGAGGTCGGCCCAGACCCTAGGGGTTTTTAAATCTACACTTAAAACATACTTCTTCTCTCTGGCCTTCTAGTTAGAGCGGAGCACGACTCCTGACTTTTCCCTGTGTTTTTTATATATATCTGTTGTAATTTATTGTCTTTTATTGTGATTGTAGTAATGTGTTTTTATTACATGTACAGCACTTTGGCTCGACCAAAAATCGCTTTTAAATGTGCTTTATAAATAAAACTTGATTTGATTTGACTTATACTGTAAGTCAGGGCTTCTCAAACTCCGGACCAAGGTCCGGATCCGGACCGAACTGCAAATCAATCCGGACCGAACCCTGTGTCCCATTATAAAAAATAAAAAAAAATTATTAAAAAAAAAAAAAAAAAAAAAAAAAAATTCTGATTCTGATAAATTAATGTACATCATCATGTACGCGCGTCTTGTGTCTGACGCGTTGTGAGAATGAACGTGCATATATATTTACTTGTGTGTGCGAGCGTGACACGCATAGCAGACCGCAAGTTAACCACAAGTTTACCTTGACTTTCTAATGCTTCTAATGCCTTTTTTGCAGAGGTTCAAAGCATTGACTACAGACAAACAGTGCCATTTCTCCCACTAGTTCAAGCCACCATACTGTATGTATGTATTGAATGTGTGTGTGTATATTACAGGGGCGCCGTTTGCCGACAGGCAAGGCAGGCAAGTGCTTGGACCAGAAGGGGTCCCCCAAAGAAGGTAGATTAAGAAGGTCCACAGCAACGATAACATGAAACACCCTTGCATAGCGCCAAGAAACTGCTTCTTAATTTCAGTTTCGTTTCTCCGCTAGGGGGGGGGGGGGGACGGACTTTACTGGCATTGATCCGGACCAGTGACCTTGTATAAAGTTCACAACTGGACCTTTAATAAAAAAGTTTGAGTACCCCTGCTGTAAGTCATGTAAAAAATTGTCAGATATAAATATTTATACTATACTTAAGATCACTATGCACTTTGTCATGGCAATTATGGTATTAAAGCTTAATAAAATGTAATCCTAATGAAATGTAACTTTTAACAAAGTGGTATCCTTTCAAGTGTTTTAAATCCTTATGTTTTAGAAGAACATTTGGTCTGTGTTCACGAGAGTAAGATGAAGGGTTTTATGACAATACAGGAAAGACAGGGGGAAAGGAAGACATTTGTCCTAGGCCAAAAATCTGTGACACCCAATTGTTCTTTGTAGGGTTTGAGTTTTGCTTCTTGTGATAGGGCGACCACCTGGGCCCAAATGTTGTTGTGTTTTCATGTAAATGATCTTTGATGTTTCCCTATAAGAGAGTCTGTCACACACAGAACAGGACGCACTCAGAAGGAGTCGTCATGCTTGCAAGCCTTAAACAAAGATCTTAAAAGACTTTATATCGATATTGTGTTTCTTTGCACATTTGCCTAACTCATCATTTTCTCTAGACAGGAGCTGACTTTAAGTTGCTACTACAACTTTACTACTGTTTTGCACTTCTGGTTGGATGTTGTTGTCTTAGTACTTGTACTCTGTGCAATGACAATAACGTTTAATCTAAATCTTAATCTTGCTGCTAAACTTGGCCCTGAAATCAAAAGGTAGCAGTATTAAAACACCACATACTCTAGTAACATTTTCATTATTATCCTTTGTATTATAGTGTGTAAAAAAAAAGGTTTAAGCAACAAGCAGAACATGAAGGATCCAGCTGTCACGGACCTCTGCCAGCACGCGGCGGTCCTGGACCTTGCGCCGGCTCAGCTGCTTCACCACGTTCTTGGCTCCTTCTGCTACGGCCGATTCAATCTTCATGTGGTGCAGGAGTTCAGCCAGCCGCAGCTCCAGAGCACCAACCATCTCCTCAGGCTGACCTGGGGCAGGGCGGAGCATCAACATAACATATAGTTCAAATCTGTCTTGTTATACCAGTTAAAACATACTGATGGTGACTCAATCCGTCAGTATTAGGGTAATACAGTGGCATCATTCAGTACATTCAATGTACAACCAATGATGAGTATTTTTTGTTAACTTTAGTATCGGGTATTTTTCCTTGAGTGCTGGTAGAGGCCAAAACAGGAAGTGTAGTGTGTGTGGTCAGATTTACCGAGGGCGCCGTCCACCCCGTCTCTGGCTTGGCTGACTTTGACAATCTGCATGCGCAGCAGCTCGATCTTAGTGCGGCTGTCCTGTAACATCTGCTGCGCTGTACTCACCATCTTCCTGTCCTGGAGAATAACAGCAGCTTAATGCATGTTGTCCAACACAGAGACATCGTGACACAGTGAGAGAGACCAGAGGAGGTGGGACCATTTTCTAAAATGTTTGAATTGTGGATTAGCCATTTTTTGCAGTGGTCACACATTGTAACAAATTAGCAAAGTACTTGAAGTATAGTAGCAGCCATGCTTGAAGGCCAATACATGACGGAGATGGCATGGGATGCAGTGGCTGGTAGCTCCATGAACTTGGCTATATTTAGTGTTAGTCCTCGCCAGAAATCTAGGTGTAGTCATGGACTCTGACAGTCACATTAAAACAGTTACTAAATCAGCCTACTATCACCTAAAGAATATATTGAGGATTAAAAGACTAATGTCACAGCAGGATTTGGAAAAACTTTTCCATGCTTTTATCTTCAGTAGACTCGACTACTGTAATGGTGTCTTTACAGGTCTCACTAAGATCTATTAGAAAGCTGCAGCTGATTCAGAACGCCGCTGCTCGAGTCCTCACTAACACTAAGAAAGTGGATCACATCACTCCTGTTCTGAAGTCTTTACACTGGCTTCCTGTGTGTCAAAGAATAGATTTCAAAATACTGCTGCTGGTTTATAAAGCTTTGAATGGTTTAGGCCCAAAATACATTTCTGACCTACTGCTAAATTATGAACCATCCAGAACTCTCAGGTCTTCTGGGACTGGTCAGCTTTCTGTCCCCAGAGTCAGAACTAAACCTGGAGAAGTTCAGTTATTATGCTCACTACACTGTAACTTTTATTCATGTATTTTATATATTAGCTTGTTTTATGTTTATTATTATTTATTGTTTTTAAATGCCATTTTATAATATGTTTCCGCTGCACTATTTCTTAATGTTCTTAATGTTTTTCATTTTTGTGAAGCACTTTGAATTGACTTGTGTTAAAAGGCGCTATATAAATAAACCTGCCTTATGTCTCTTTCAGTCTGTTTCTTTTTACTGTAAGGCATATGACAGAGATTCACATTAACATGGTAGAAGGAGAGGTGGTGATTGGATTAGGCGCAGCAGACTTTGGGAGGACTTTAGCCCCGCCCGACATCTTCAGAGCAACAGTGAGTCGGACCTGCCCCACCATAAAACCATAAAAAAATTGGACAAATATTGTCCTCTACCTTGACGGAGCTGTTGGTGTAAGTGTGGATCATGTTCTCAGCGCCCTGTTTGACTTTGGTCTCCATGGTGAGCTGTTTCTTCAGGGTTCTGACTCGACTGGCCGCAGGGGAGCTGACGTCCTCCCACTGACAGGAGTCTGCTGATGGGTTGTATTCCTCCTCCAAACAACCTGCATGAAAATAATAATACTAATCTTACGCGAAGGTTAAATGACTTTTTGTGATTGTACCATCTTTAAGTTACTCAGAGGGTGCAGTAATGGTACACTCACACATTCCTGACATGGCACGGGGCTTTTCTGTCAGCACAGCTACCACCTGCTAATCGACCTAGCCAAGTCCAACATTTAGAAAATTCAAAGTGCCCTAAACTAACCAAACCTTTAATTACACATGTATCCATCCTGGATCAAATACAGTGCAAGGTGAGAAATAGGCAGGGGTGAAAAAGTAAATAGAAGTACCAGAGTGTAGGAATACTCTGTTACAAGTAAAGGTTCTGCATTGCAAATTCTACTCAAGTAAAAGTACACAATTATTGGCATAATCAGTGTTTCCCCTACCATTTTCTTGGAGCCCCTGGAATTCAAGGTATTTAAAAAGAAAAAAAAGAATTATAGTTATTTTTTTTGTATTTTTTTTTTGTATATATATATATATATATATATATATATATATATATATATATATATATATATATATAGCACCAAATTGCAACTAATCTATATCTACTGTCACTTTTCACATTGAACATGTGCTTTTTTATTAAATAAACTAAACACTTTCATTTTAAGTTGTGAGTTTAGTGTTTTTGACCCTAACAAACACTGATGCACTAATCAATAACAATAATCCACAGCTCCTCTCTCTGCTCCAGAGGATTTAAAAAATATATATCCCAATGCCACCCCCCACCCTCCCCGCTCAGACAGCACCCCCCCCCAAAGCAGTAAACCTATCATTTCAGAATAATATATATGATATGTTTTATAATGATTGATCATGAAAGTGTTCTCAAAGCTGGTAAAGGTGCAGCTAGTTTGAATGACTTTGTATACTGCAGGGTAGCTTGTGGATTTACTCCAGGTGGAACTAAAGTCTGATTTAACACTTGATTATATTTCACATCATTCATCCACATCTGTAAAGTAACTAAAGGTATTAAATAAATATAGTGAAGTAAAAGTACACAATTTAACTTTGAATGGTAGTGGAGTAGAAGTACAACACATTTCAATACTTAGGTGAAAGGCTTTTAAATATTTAATTTTGATAACACATTGCTGCTGTAACAAAATAATTTCCCAATAAAGTATATTTCTATCTTCTATCTATCTATCTGTCCTAATGCTGTGAACATGCACACTATTCTTAGGGAGTGAGACACACATTGCAGTGTTTCCCCTACCATTGTCTTGGAGGGGCGCTGCGCCCCGCCAACGGAGCCCCGCCAACGGAGCCCCGCCAACGGAGCCCCGCCAACGGAGCCCCGCCAACGGAGCCCCGCCAACGGAGCCCCACGCCTCCCCTGAAATTCAAGGTGTTTAAAAAAAGAATTATAATTTTTTATATATATATAGCACCAAATTGCAACTAATCTATATCTACTGTCACTTTTCACATTGAACATGTGCTTTTATATTAAATAAACTAAACGCTTTCATTTTAAGTTGTGAGTTTAGTGTTTTTGACCCTAAGAAACACTGATGCATTAATCAATAACAATAATCCACAGCTCCTCTCTCTGCTCCAGAGGATTTAAAAAATATATATCCCAATGCCACCCCCCCCCCCCCACACTTAGATAACTAAAATAAGCAGGGATATCATGTGACATCTACACTCTCCACCATGATGTGTTTACTTACCTGTGGGGCTGTCCTTCTCTGTGGCCATGGACCTGGCGTTGAGGTCCTGCAGCTCCAGGTGTAGCCTCTCCAGCTTGCGGTTGGAGCCCTTCAGTTGGCCCTCCACATCGGCGGCGCTCTTGCGGTTGGTGACGGCCCGCCGCAGTCTCTCAGCAGCCTCCTTGATCTTCAACTCCCGCTGGATCTCCTGCCTGAGCAAGGTACGAGCGTCTTCCAAGCGCTGCTGGAACTCTGGGTCCAGAATGTCCGCCTCCTCCAGGCTCTGCAGGGTGCCACTCTGAAACACACAGCACAACTGCTTCACAATGTCTGCCCGCTGTGGATTTGACCAGCCATTATATTGTTTTTATTGTGTGTATCATTATGTATCCTCTTTGCTTATAATAAGCAACATGGATACATACATTGACAACTGTGCAAGATACTAGGGCTGTGCGATTATGGCAAAAATCATAATTACGATTATTTTGGTCAATAATTGATATCACGATTATTAAATACGATTATTCATTGACTTTGAAAACATCCATTTATTGTACTTTAAAACAAATACAAATAATAATTTGAACAGTATCTTTTTAACTGTTGATTACCCTGAACGTATAATTCAACTGAAAAACCAATACAAAAATAAATAAAATAAATGATACATTTAAATAAATAATATCAAAATAATAAATACCAATAAACAAGATCAACAAATATTTTGGAGCGCACTTCAACAAGCTACTAAACATATATAAATATGATAAATAAAAATAAATGAGACCAAAATTAATTAGATCAAATATGTTTTTTTCGATTATGTTGTTTTCGTAATTGTGGCAGGCCAAAATCGTAATTGCGATTCAAATACGATTAATTACACAGCCCTACAAGATACTGTCACAAACCTTACAGATGTGTAATTCACAGGGGTGTGTAGTTACTAAGTACATATTGCCAGACGCTGAAAAGCTTATACATGCATTCATATCAAGTAGGTTGGACTACTGTAATGCACTCTTCGCTGGACTTCCAAAGAAATCAATAGAAAAGCTGCAACTTATCCAAAACTTCGCCGCCAGGCTTTTAACAAAAAACGGAAAAATAGAGCAAATGATTCCTGTTTTATCTGAACTACATTGGCTGCCAGTGTCTCTTAGAATTGATTTTAAAATGATTTTACTGGTTTTTAAAGCTCTTAATTAATGGTTTGGCTCCCACGTATCTCACAGAGTCTCCCTGGACAAGCCCTGAGGTCCTCTTCAGCTTTTTAAATATCCCTAAAGTCCCCCAAAATAAAATGGGTGAGGCCGCTTTTATCCACTACGCTCTCAAACTGTGGAACACCCTACCAGGAAATATCAGAGGCCAACTCAGTGGACATTTTTAAACACCAGCTAAAGACACATCTTTTTGGATTAGCTTTTTATTAGCACTTCCCCCCCGCCCCTTTAAATGGTCTTTTAGTCTTTATTATTTACCTACTTTTATATTGTTATATAGGTCTTAAAGGGTTTTATCTTATATTATTGATTTAACTGTTTTAATAGCAACATTTCCTTTTACGTTGGTCTTTTAATATTTGAATCGTTTTACCTTTGACCTCCTTGTGTCTCTTAACCTGTTAAAATATTATATGTTGTTGTTTATTGTGATGTGTGCCATTTTGTAAAGCACTTTGAGCTGCACGTGCTGTATGAAAACTGCTATCAAAATAAAGCTTTATTATTATTATTTACTCAAGTAAAATTTGGAGATAATTGTACTTTAATTTGAGTATTTCCTTTTTTGCTACTTTGACTTCTACTCCACAAGAGGTAAATGGTGTACTTTTACACCACTACATGTATTTAATAGCTTTGGTCAAACATGTTAAATATGAAAATGTACAAAGGACAACTATCACAGACGTCTCAGGTGAACAGAACATTGATTCTAATAAAGAAAGTGTTTAAAGTGTAAACTAAACACAGGCTGTGTCCCCTGGGTGATGCAACCAAGAAAAACTAGAGAGACGATTCATGAAGCGGAAAGTCCTCTAAGTAGTGCTGTCAATGGATCAGCAACAATAAATGGCACAATGCCCCCCCCCCCCCCCTTGTGGATACATATCTTTGTAACTTACAACAACAAGCTAGCATTGTGAAATCAGCTGCTGAGAAAAGATTAGGGCTGAAACTATTTATCATTCTCATAATTCATTAACCTGAAAATCTGGTTTTGATAAATCATGAAGTCTATTGTCATGTAGCTTAACATGAAATATCACCAGCTCTGAGTCCAAAGAAACATATTCAAATGTTTTGATTAGCTCGACCAACAATGCAAACCCAAAGAGATTTCATGTAAAATTATGTAAAACACACAAAGTAATGCATCTTCTTATTTAAAAAGCTCAAACCAGAGCATATTTGTCATTTTAGCTTCATTCCGAAACTAAAATGGTTAACTAATCACAACAAATGTTGCAGATTGCATTTTCAAATGTTTTTTTTTTTCATATTTAGTCAGAATACAGACTTTGATTTCATTAATCTTGTGTTAAATTACTGTCAAACACAAGAGACCTGGAGTGACACACGCCATCTTTCTTCAAATGTAATCTTTCAATAATGTAGCCCTACAAACAAAAGTCCATCCACCTGCATTGCGTTGTGGATCAAGCCTAAATATCAGAATCATAGAATGCCGATTTGCACAGCTTTGTAAATATTAAATGAGAACTACTTGTTTTTGTATTGAAATTATTTTGGAGTTGCCAAATATCCCAATATGCATTGGACATGGGGTCTTCAGCTGCTCAAACAATATTTAAACTGAACTTATTTGAACTTATCTTCACTCTAGATAGAGCTAGTGTAAATAGATAGTGACTGAAGAATATTCACAGATCAAGTTTTGATTGATTCTGGAACCTCATATTTAGATGGCTAAAGTTCAAATAAGAATAAATGAGCACTGACTCTGTATGTTCCTCTAAAATAAATTATACAGTAGAACATGATTATGTAAAAAAACACATTTAACCCAAACGCCTTAATAAGATATATTTACAATAGGCTGTTTATTAATCAGGTTTCGCTCTTTTGTTTTAGTGGTTTATGTTTTCATATGAACTTTTCAAGAAAATAATCAAAGGAACAATAAATGATCTAACTGGTCCAAATCGAATTCATAAGACTTGCAACATCATAGTAACAGAATAAGGTTACATCAAAGGGGCTAGACAGACACTTTATTGATCTCAAATTGGGATTTTCTTTTTTTACAGCAGCAGTGTTGAAGGATTAAAATATGTTAAAAGGTGGAATAAAGGGTTAAACATAATACAACAAAAACAATAAACAGCAAATATAAACATATATCTAAAATATATAAGAAATATAGACTTATACTACTGGAGCAGAAACATATATACACAGAACAGTACATCAATTACAGATGTGCAAGGTAGCTGTTGTGCAAATTGTTCAAATAGTTTCAGTTTCTCCCTCTATAACAGAGGGAGAAACTGAAACTATGGTGCAGTGAGTTCAGTAGTGTTTGATATCACTTGATACAAAGCCCAATTACTTTTACAAACAATTAACTAACACTAACTATAAGATAACACTCATGTGTTACTGACTGGTCAAGCTAAGAGTCAGATGTTGAGGTAGGCTGGCTCTTTGTTGGTATTAGTATCATCTGTTCATGCCTTTAGCTATTATGTTCTGAGGACACGCCTCCTGTCAATCAAAGTCACTTCACCTTTTCTGTCCTAGGAAGTGGTGTCAATATCCCAATAAAAGCCAATAAACCATTTTTACATCACAGTGACCAATGGATGGTTCAAAGTGTATTTATGTGTATGTAACTGTCCCTATGGGAAATAACACTTTATGTATTATTATTTTTAAATAGGCCAATACAAAATCACCGATAATACTTATTTGAATAATGTGTCAAATTATAAGTTAAAATTCTATTCAGCAATTCATATTTGTTCAACATAAACAAAGCAGAAAAGGCTTGTAAAGCAGAGAGTGTACCAGCCTGGAGATAAGCAGGTTAGGTGTCAGATATCAAACCTCTGGAGGGAGGGGAAGACATGTCGAGGGGCTACTAATGCTTACCATGTTTTCTTTTAATAAAACTGAGACTTTCAAATAGTAAGCTACAGTTAAACAGGAGTTAGAAGTGTTTTCTGACAAACTACATCCCATCATCAACATCATACAAAGACAGAGGAACTATGAGGAGAGGCAAACCAGACAAACAGGAAAATCAAGAGCGGCAAATCTACCAAACTAGCTATGGTAATTTAACAGTCAACCGTCCTTGGTTAATAATAATTCGTGTAATGTTGGCACCGAATGTCTCCATGAAAACTCCACTTAATTTGACAATTTAAACAAGCAGTGTCAATGTACCTGTACTGTTAGACCTGACATGGTGGCTGTCAGGTGTCTCTGCCCGCCGCCGGGCTGTTGCCGCCGGGCTGCTGCCGCTGCTTCGGGCCGGGCGCTCGGTGAAAGAGCTCCGAAAGGACCGACACGAGCTGCTGAGCTACACTAACAGCGACATGCGAAATTCAACGTCTGCTAAGGCTGGTCACAGGCGCTGCGTGGCAGTGTACTTCTGTTCATTATGGAAACAAATCTGAGGAAAAGTTTGAACTGAGTTAAGATGGGGTTCGACGCAACACTGACGTCAGCAGACGGCGGCTAGATTGGTTGGCTGTCGATAACGACAGAGACGCTCCAAGAACCAATCACATTTGATTATTCAATGCACCTGCCGAGGTAAGCATATGCATTCACGGAGACACTGGGAAGGCTTCTCAATTCTCTAATTTCCCCTCCTCGACTCCCCTCCTCGACTCCTATCCTCGTGTCTTAGTCCCGCCCACAGGAGATGCGAGCGGAGGAGTCGAGGAGGGGAGTCGAGGAGAGAGGAGGGGAAGCAGCAGGCGTTTAGAGAAATCCTCTCCTCTGAGCGGTCATTTTAAAGAGACGTCCGTTAATGATGACAGGAGGCACAGCACTCTGTCTGATGGACATGTGTTCATGACGACTTATATATTAACTTGTAATTCATTGACAGTGCGGTATAATGAGACAATAACAGGCTACAGATGCGGACATATACACACACATATATTTATATAAATATATACAATTTCAGAATCAAACAAGTATGAGAGCACTCTCATAATAACGTAACACAATCAGAGACTGGACATATCCCCCCCCCCCCTCCCCTCTCTGGTTTCTGAAATGGGGAATTGAAATTACGGGCCAAAAGTTTTATTTACAAACTTATTAAAAGTAAGCATAGGACACCAAACCAACTTAGACCTGTCTGTCTGCCGCACCTACACACTGTACAACACACACCTACACACTGTACAACACACACCTACACACTGTACAACACACACCTACACACTGTACAACACGCACCTACAGCTCCTAATATATATCAGGATACAGCTGTTGTGTATTTTATTATGTGAAGCACTAAATGGTTTTGGAAAAATATTGACTCTTTGTTTGTAGATATCTACTAAACTAAAGCATACAAATAAAGAGAGTAATGTAGGCCTGTTATACTGAGTGATCAGTGGCGAGCCGTCAGGGCCTTCTAGGACCTCTCTGAGGGCCTAAGATATTCTACAAAATAATATTTAAAAACATTAAAAAAAAATTGTTTAATATATATTTTTTATATATATTTGTATTAGTTTTACCAAAATAACTTGATTTAATTGTATTTAAAATAACATTTCCAAAGAAATAAATCCTTCGAATCTGCCTATTCAGTTTCTGTTTGAATGTGAAGGGTTAAATGAAAGAAGCTCCTTTAGCCGTCTGCGAGTTATTGTGAAGACAGGAGCTGATTGGTGGTCCTGCTGTAAATTCACAGAGGGCCCGCTATAGGCTGCGTCTCAGGTCGGTTAAATGGAATCCTTGCGTCCCTCACTTGCGTCGTTTCCCTGCGTTTAGTCCCTCCCACCAGGGAAGCATGGAGAGACGCAAGGAAACCACGAGAAGCAGGGAAATGAGTTTTAAGAGCAATGGGACGTCCTTTCCTCCGGAGCGTCACACAAAGCGATGTCCGTTTGTGATGACGCCGCACAGCTGGTCGTCTGACAGCAGCCAGCTCTGACCCCGTTGTTTTCACAAACACCCCCGCCTCTGTTAGTACACATTTACTGACATATACATGTGTATCATCTGTTGTAGACCCAAATAAATAAAATACAATAAGAACTCATTCTCAAAAAAGATAAACGCTATTCTTAAAATGTATAAACTAAAAAAGCATAATGAATAAAATAATTTTTGACCACTTTGTTGTTCAGATATATCACATATTATTTGTAACTAAATGATACATTAATTTAAACAAAACACAGTATAAACTGAGGAGTGACTCTCGTGAGTTTCATGTGTTTTCTTCACTCCGCTGGGAAACTGCTCTCATGTCAAGAAGCAACAGATCAGTGCATGCGCTGCATCGTCCAATCAGTGAGCGATACAAAGTAAGGGGGCGGAGCGAGTGGCTGAGGATTTCAGCAGAGGATGGTCTGGTGGTTCTTCGGTTATCGCTCCTCCATTATCGCTCCTCGATCCTCGATCCTCGATCCTCGATCCTCGATCCTCCGGCAGAAATAAGAGCCATGGGACGCTACTCAAGATGGCGCAGACAAATCAACTTCCGGTGATACCGAGGACCGAGGAGCGAGGAAATGAAAATAACCGACCTGAGACGCAGCCATAGTAACTGAACGAGAGAGTAATGTCAAATTACAGTACAATTGACCAATCATATCTTCCCTCTAAATGGGTGGGTTTTATTATCGCGGACTTTATGACAAGTTCCGCCCGCTGTGAAGTTTTTTCTTGTTTCCATAACAACTTCCTGTCAACAGCATAAACTCACCTTCAAAATAAAAGCATGCCAAATTACACTTAAGACATACAACTGCAACGAAAGTAACAAACACAATGCAATATCCTTTTCAATTTCAAAGAACACACATTGGGTTATTTACATTGGTAATAACTCTTTTTTTTTTTTTTTTCGAGGGAAGGGTTGGGGGTCAGAGGGCCTAGGTATAAACGTCACGGCTCGCCACTGTGAGTGATATATATTATACACACTGCTCTGCTTTCTGCACGGACCTCACAGCTGTTTTCACTGTAAACATCGCATCGCGATGAAAGCAGTTAATAAAATAATATCCAGGGGATGCATGCAGAGCTGTCATTGGCTGAGATAAGTCTGGCCGTGCGTCACGACTCTTTGAAACATCACTGTTGCTGCCGGAAATACATCCGCGGAGGAGCCGTGGAGGAACCATCAGTGTATCCTCGATGCTCGATGCTCGGTCCTCGATGTGCATTTAGAGAAATGAGATGTCCTTCAACATGGCGCGCTGAAATCCATTTCCGGGTCACTACCGGAGGACCGAGGAGTCGAGGAGTCGAGGAGGGGAAATTAGAGAATTGAGAAGCCTTCTGGGTGTTTCTCAATGTCGAGGAAGGCTGCTCCAGAGCCACTATTTCAAGCATACTACGTCATCGAGTGCCGCCGAAGACTGTTCCAATGTCCAGCATACTTGGAATTCTACCGAGGCCGGCGTACATCGTAGCGAGAAATTTCGAGGCTGCACATGTGTAGACTCTGCGCTGCGAGGAGCGATAACGGAGGAGCGATAATCGAGGAACTACCAGACCATCCTCCGGTGAAATCCTCAGATACTCGCTCCGCCCCCTTACTGTGTATCGCTCACTGATTGGACGATGCAGCGCATGCACTGATCTGATGCTTCTTGACATGAGAGCAGTTTCCCAGCGGAGTGAAGAAAACACATGAAACTCACGGGACTCACTCCTCAGTTTATACAGTGTTTTGTTTCAATTAATGTATCATTTAGTTACAAATATGTGATATATCTGAACAACAAAGTGGTCAAAAATCATTTTATTCATTTATTGGAAACATTTTCATGTTTCATTTTTCGTTTTACATTTTCATTTATTGTCATTTCCATTCAGTCAGTCATTAAGTACTATTTAAAATGTTAATTTGCTACATATCCACACAAACGAACAAAGTGTGCAATCCAATGAATGTTAATCTAGCTGGGTTTTGATAGATAACATATCTCTTTTCCGTTTATACAGCTGAGTCGCTTCAATAAATCATAAGAACAAATACCATTTGTACTCTTTCACTAAAGGAGCCACTAAACTGATTTCAACTAAAGCTACATCAATTAACTTTACATATATAAATGGATAAAACCTCTCTGAAAGCCATTAAAACAGTTTATTTACATAACGCATTACTGTCGCCTGTGTCAAACTGAGACATGGAAAACATGCATAATGCTCACAGAGGGTCATCAAGGGAAACTTGTTGAGGAACACTTGTTCAGTGTCCTGCTGCTACTCACTCAGCCAGAAGTGGGCGGTTTTGGAAATTGTGTCTAGTTTTTGGATAACTACAGGTATGGCATTTTGGTCTTTTGCTCCATGAAGTGAATTCATGTCTGCTCTTGAGGTAAACATGACTTCGAATGGCTTTGGAAATGGTATTGAATTGAACTATTCGCCCCTCAGCAATGGAAGGGGACAGATTCAGCTGTGCATTAAGATTAACACAGGCTGTACCAGTCTCCACTCTTCACATCAGTTTCTCTTCAAATGAAATGCCTTTAAAATCAACAGAATATGAAGCTGCATAAGAGAATGTAGTTATTATGACAAGAAAGCTGGTTCAGTTTTTATATTTCTTAGCAATTGCATAATAATTAAAAGTTGTGACATTTTGAAAATCTTTTATTTTGCCAAAATCATTTATTTTTGCCAAAAGGCCCGCACCTATCTCTGTGTGAGAGAGCAGAATGTTAACTATTGTCATATAGAGCACTAACCAACAGTAATGGCTATATTGGCTATATTAATATTGAGGGTTTGTATTTATATACTGGATGTTTGAATGCACATCCTGGAAATCGTTACAGGCACTTTAAACAACAGCGACATGTCAGGACATGTGAACACTGTGTATTTGATCTGCTTATCTTTGGCCAGAGGTTGTACATTTTAATTTGGAGCTTAAATTGTACATTTGACTTGCACTGTATATGGATATTGTAGTTGGTCAGTTTATGTATATACAGCTTTTACAGTTTTCTGAAACGAATTGAGCATATAGCAAAGTCCTATACATCAACATTAAGCGTTTAATCAAGTGAATTAAGCCAGTCGAAACATTTTCATCCTTTTTGTAAATATCATACCTAATTGAAGGTTTTTTTTTTTTGTACTAGCACCTATACAATAGAACATTGCTAATGGTTTTTACAATAAAAAAAGTTGACTTGGACGGAGAGCAGAATAAGTGGCTCTATAGATTCAAGTTGCATTGTCGCTAATTAGTTTTGCTACCTTTTATTTGGTGCTTCAGACAATAGTTGTGGTTTCTGTTTTTTTGTATTGCAAGTTTAGCATATGGTAAAAAGTTTGAAAGTCAAATTAGGCAAAGAGTCGGCTGAAGAGCCCGAAAGGTCCTGGTTGACATCAGGAAATCTGAAGCAAAAGAAATATCTGGATGGCATGGAGAAACCCAACAGGCACAACTATGCTGTGATGGACTACAGTGGGGATATACAGATGACAATGACACCGAATATAGT